ATGTCAAGAATTACACAATAATGCCTCAACTTCAATAATAAAGCAAGTACTTGCAAACAACAGTGGTGATATCGCTAATGTCAAATATCAACGCAATTGCTACAGCAATTTTACCGATAAATGGAAAATTAATACACTGAAAAGGAGACAAGAATCAGTGACAAATGTGGAGAAACGTCTACCAACAATGAAAATGTTATAACATCGAGATGCAGTTGTTGTGAACATTCTATTTTGAAAAAACTTCACATGGCTTATGGCACGCTATTACAATACACAACAAATAATTTCATAATGGACAGCTTTCAATGAGAGAATTAGCATTGAAAACCCTCTTATAACAACACTTGGAATGCTTCCTATCCTCCAAGCCTCAGCGGACGAAAACAACTAAAATGCTACTATAATTAATTGCTTCATCGACATTACTTCAATGGTATGGATCAACCACTTTACAGCAGAGCAAAAGAGTTTGTTTGGGCTAATCAAGACAAGTATTCAAACGTGGTGTTGGTCATGGGTAACCTACATATTTTTAACTTCCTCAAAGCAATTGGGCTGCACATGGAAAGTGCAAATCTAGCTGTTTGGGTGGGATCACGAGCTTTTGCTGAGTGGAGTACTGTAGCTATGATGTGGCATATTACAGAGCTTTAAGGGGACATGCATTGAGCTATGAAGCATTGTGGAAGATTTACTGGCAGTTACTTAGTCCATGGCTTTGTGAAAATGGAAAAAACCTATTTTAGCAACTAACGTAGTACGAATTGTGGAATAATTTACAAAAGTACTCCAAGTGATAACGTAGATATCCAAAGTTCAGTATTGATTGTGATGGAAGCATTGAAAACAGAAAATATTTTATGTCTGATGGAGGAGTTAGACAACAAATTTCACAAATTTCCTAACTTTGTGCTCTGGCGAACATTCGTGAAAATGGTGGAAATTTTGCTCCATGGCAAAAGTATGATGCAGTAGCCACTAGCTACTTCATCTCAACACGTTTGCTGAGATGTTGCTGTGGATGACAATATGTGATCACACATACTAGGCTAGATGAGGATCCGTCTATTTGACTGAAATGAAAAGTTTGGTGGTATCACATCGCGAGTTGTATAATGAATTTTAGTTTGGAAATTTTGTTGTTAAAAGAAGAGATTGAAATTCAATAAAGTTCTAATGACCAAGCAACCAAATGGCAAAACAGAGTGTGCAAAATATTGGATGGAATCATTGGAATAACAAGAAATGATACAGCCTGACACAAGTTTTGTATAACTTGGGCAGAGCGTTCGTTTGTTTCACATTCAACTAGAGTGATACTTGATTTGGAAGATGATAACAACGAACATATCTCCACTCAAAAAGTTGCCCGGCCATCTTGTGTTACAGAATGTGATACTTAAATATATAAATAGAGATAAATATCTTACAGTTAATTGAGATGAGGATAGTATTACCAATATTTACAATTAAATAACATATGGAAGTTAAGCCTAGACATTAAACAGAAGAAAAAATTAACAAAATTATTTAGCAACTAAAAATGGTATTAACGTGGTGAACTTGCTTATTTAAATTTTTTAATGAGTAAGGCTTCTTTAATTCTGAGGGTGGAAGAATAATTGCCAGTGCTGATAATTATAAAGCAGTGGTTGGTGTATTGTGATTTGCAGTTATGTCAGGAAAGGTGTTTGAAGATATGTGAATTTTTTATCAGCGGAAATGTGCTCCATCCTGTTAGGAATATGACGCATTGTTTCGCCAATATAGCAACTATTACAAGCCGCACAAGTAAATTCATATACTACACAGGATTTACGATTAAAGAGAATCAAATCCTTACAACTGAAAAGATTTTTAATTTTGTAATGCATAAAGAATAATTTTATTTCAAAAGGTACACAGTATTGTTTGATCAGTATAGTCATAGAATAGAGACTATATAGAAGGGCAACTCGCCTCGGCAATTTCTGATGTAACCGTGGCGCAAAGTTTCCGTACTCTGGCCAGTAAAGTGTACAACATTTACTATGAAAATATATGGAGTGGAAGCCGTAAAGTGGGTTAAAATGTAGATTTTTTGAGCTGTTGGCTGTTTTTGGCAGCTTTTTGAAAGAAATTGAAATAAGAAGGCAAGTATTTTGTATATATCATGTAACAAATGCATTTATTTAATATATTTATAGCGAAATTCAGTCAGAAAGCTTGAACAGGTTCTGAGGTTCTCAAGTCCTGAGGATTTAAATGAACTTGGATGTATTACATGTTAAATTTATTATTGTGATATAAAAAGCTTTTGTTTTCAATTTAGTTTTATAAAGGACAAAAAATTATATGCACAAAGCCCTCAAAGGTGTGTGACTTTAATGTACTTTCTGTCTTTCTTTTTAATTGTTGCGAATATACGGTTCGCAAATTTTATGGCGTAATAAATGCGCATTCTTACAAAAAGTTTCTGCAAGAACTCAAATGGGAATTCCATACAGCAATCAAATTCCTTTGGTATGGACTTGACGGTGTCTAATATACTTTGACCAACACCTTCGCTCTTTGTGTAGACAGAAAACGTCTTAATAAATGTGTCTTCAAGTTTGATGATATAATACAGATAAGGAGAAGATGGTGATTGTAGTCCTCCTAAATCAGATTTCTTTTCATCGAATGCTTTAAAGTGGCAGAATAAGTTTCTGCTATCGTCCAGTTCTGTAGATGAAAGAGCTTTGGTGCATTTCAGACAAGAGTAGAGTTTGAAATTCTTCATTAGAAGAAAACCAGACACATATACAATGGCATTTTCCCTCATTATGTTAGTAACAACATTTGGCTCCTTGTAGTCAGTAGGACCAATTGCTAAAATTTGTGGTTGCGGAGGTGGAAAGACTTGAACCATTTTCTTCTGGCTGACTTTATTCTATGCAATATTTTTGGAATACTCAACCAGCATAGAATCAAGGTCGTTGTCACAATTTCCAGATGAACAGGTTAGAAGGGAACTGAAGAAAAGCTTTCTAAATGCTTGCATAAATTGGGTTGAAGTGGGGTTATCACTATTGCCTCCCTGGCGACGAATAGTACCAAAAAAATTTTCTAGTGGGTCAGTATTTAGTCGTCTGGTAAAAAGAAACTTAAACTTATGCACTGATCGTAATGTTTCCCATATCGAGATGATGGCTTTAAGTGTCACTAACCAGCCATGCAGACACTTATCTCTACCAGCGACATCTTTATTCCCTTGGAACACTTTCAATGTTTTGATGAAATTGATGCTTTCCTTCAGAAATTCAATGTGGAATGATTTTTCATTGATGGCACATCTAAGTTTTTTACTCGTTTGCAACATGGAACTGTTTACACAGTCAAAAATAGAATGAAATTGGAAACAAATTCTGAAGTTCCCATTGCAGAGGAAGGGATCTGAATCTACAAGCTTCTTTTTTGCTTCTGCAACATTTGTAAATGGAGATTCTGTATTTGAAATCCACGGCGCCATGCTTCTTAAGAGGTGTAGCAACTTCTCTCTATCCTCGGATGTCAGACCATGCTCACTTTTCTTTGTCCATCTTTCCCATGCTTGTTCCCTGTGGAAATCACATAGAAACACTGATGTTCCCACGTCCTGAAAAACTGAAATTCGGAGAAAAAATAAAAAATCAACTAACTACTGTACATATGAGGCATGGCATTCTCAATGACTATGCTCTTACTGCAATTTACTCTACGTTCTCGCAATTAGTAAGCCCTCAGCAAGCCATTTAATTCTAAAATAGTTTTTCAGACCCTTGACAATTTATAGTATAGTTTAGCAATGTTGCAACTTACCTGACTCAATGGAATAAATTTCTACAACTGAGAAGTCGGTCATAAAATTTGCTGGCTTCCATTCAGGATTCCACTCCCGCAAGACGTGAAGTGCTTCACTTACTTGCTCTTCCGTTTCATCTTGAACAACAAAATCTCCTAAAAAAAGTGTTGTATATTGCTTAAAAACAATTGGACTTCACAATGCACCGTGCACCAGCAGCAGTCAATTGCCGGCGTGGGAGTTAACATAAGCAAATGATGTTGAAAATGACCATAATAGACTATAGTTGTTGTTGTCTTTGTAGGGAATGAAAAACGGGCTAGTAAAAGAAGGAGATTAAGTTTATTGTCTTGCTTCACTGTTACTTCTACCTTCATCTTAGTTTTTTTTTTACCTTTCTCTGCTTTTACATGTATGTTCATTTTTCCTCTATTTTATTTTATTTAGGTATTTTTTGACAAACATGTATGCATGCGCATTTTATAAGATGCAAAACTGCAATAAATACCGACAACTGCGTATCCGTTGTTGGTTTTTACACAAACAAAGAAGAAAGGAAGGGCATAGTTGGTGGTTTTGTACGTAGCATCAAGGAGTGAAATCTCGTTGCCATATTTGACCATCAGACGTTGTTGCCACTGTTCCTGATGAACATATAAAAGTTTCTGGCTTGGCTCTGCCGTTTCACTTTCTTCCTTCACTGTACACATGCGTAAGTGAAACTTTGATGTGGGGTTTTTGCTTGTCCATTCGTCAATCATTTATTGCAAATTCACCTGATCCAGTTTGCTAAGTTTTTGTTTGTTGATAGCTGAGTAGATATGATTGATGATGTCTGTGCTGGTTGGATAAAATGACCGGTTAAGTGTTGAGGGCCTTGGACTTTTATCATCTTGGAACAATATGTTTTCCACATGGTAGGTAAGTAACTTTTTAACTTCCTGCCACTGTGTTACACCTATTTAATAAAAAACAGCCCAATAGTTCTGGATGATAATGTAAGGCCACCTTTTTTTTCAGTACGCATTGCCGTTAGAGTTTGATGAATGTTTAAAATCAGTATGCCTCACCTGCTGCAACAAGCTCGTGGATTTTCTCTATTATAAGCGGATGGACCCCATTGGAAATGCCGCACACTTCTCCGTGTGGGTGGTTTGTGTGTGCTTGCTGGTTTGGAACTTTGACAAAAACCTCTTTATTTTTTAATTTGCTTCATTGTGTTCTTTATCGATTTTAACTTGTTCAAGAGCGATGGTTTAATGACTCGTTCCATCTACAATAATTTGGACACAACGCAATTAGTGTTGAGGTTGGCTTTAAGATGATTAGTTCCTTTAAGCAACGTCATATACATTGTTAAAAATTTGTTGAGTAAATTTGATTTTTCTTTGTTTAACTCCCACAGTCTCACCTGGTGTTTGTTGTTACAGGATGTTGGAACGATGTAGTCTGGATACACGGTTAACTCCCTAACAGTGATCTGGGCCTTACACCCAAGCTTTTTAGTTGGCTGCACTCGAAATCGTCTTTTTTGGCCAGTTGGATGGCCGTTGATTCCCTATAGTATAGGTTGAAGTGTACTGCAGTTAATGTTAAAAATGATTTGTTCAAAAGTATATTATCTACTATTATAATTGCGTTATAGGTGTGGTTCGAGTTTATAGAGTTTAATATTTCAGGTTTCAAGACTACGTACCTCCTCAGAATCTCTATTTGTCGGCCTGCATGGTCCAAAAATACACATCGATACAAAACGGTGTGCCAAAACATGGTATGGATAGATCACCAACATTGCTGCTTCATCTCAAACTACCTTTAATAACAACAATTATTACAAAAAATGTTGATAATTTTATTTATAATTATATATTTACAACAACTGATGAGTAACGTGAGTTATGAACAAAATTTATAGTGAGTGAGAAGTGGAACTTTCGTCGAAACAATACAATTTTTCACGTGTAAAATACTACAAGTGCAATACGTCGTATCAGTTTAATTTATGTACCTTCATTTCCATATCGCTTTGCCGAACCTCGTAGCGCAGACGAACGAAGCTTGAAAGATGTCGATCCAGCAACTTCGTATTTTTGTAAAAACTCGTTCAAGTTAAGGCCGATCTCCACTTCGACCGTATCGTAGCGTAACGTAGTAAAACGTAACGACGAGCATGCGCAGTGTCACTATCACTAAGGACGATTGATATCGAACGTGTCGAAAGCTTTAATACGCGTATCAAAACCAGAGTTCGCCGACGGTCAACATTTTTGAAACGAATTCGTACTACGTTTGATTTGAACCAATGAAATAACAAGTTTTCTACTCAAGTTGGCTTGTTTTTTTTTTTCAAAATGGAGTCGTTTGAGGAATGGCAAGACAATATAAACGAATTTTCCAGAGAAAAAGAAAACTCAGAGGCATCTGTGGCGGAATCTTTCAATAGAAGTAACAGCGAATTTACTGCTCGCGCTATAAGTGTACAAGAACCTCCATTTTTGATTAACTTAATCGAAGAAGTGCGAAAATACCCTTGCATCTGGAACGTTTCGTCAAAGTTGCATAAAGACAAACCAAGGAAACTGGAAGCATTGCGACGAATTTCTGCTGCTTTGTGTTTACCTGGTATGTTATCTTAACAATATACATTGCTTAAAATTTTGAAACCTAAAAGAACAAGATACCTGGTTTTCATGAGCACAAAATCGTTAAATTTATAAAACAGGTAAAACTCTGTAATAAAATACAGTAGCCATTTGTGTAATCACTACAGTTCTTGGTCCAGCTTCTGCAATTGAAGTGAGTCCTATATTTACTATTGAGTGTGAAAATTGTATTGCTATCAACTGCCACTTGTTGGGTATAAATTTATGTCTATTGAAATGTGTTTGATTACAAATATCTAGTTATGTGGGTTTTGCTTTATTTTATTCAATACTTCAGTTTACAAAACTTATACAACAGAGCTGTTATGAGTAAAAACAAGCAAGCAGTACATATTACACCTTCTATTTATTAAAACATTATATTATTCAAATGTGGTACTCATCCATGCAATTATCACAGTGACATGACACTGATCATCAATATGCCAGTTAATTAAGAAATGATAGTATTAAATGAGCTTTAAATGGAAGTTGATATTCATGGATAAGAATAAATATGTCCATTTTGCAACATTCCAGATTAAATTTAGTGTAGCTCACTATTTTTTCTGCATTGTACCTGTAACCATCGTTATATTGCAATTTCCTTATGATACTCTTCTTACATTTTGTATATGGGGCAAACCATTCCCATCCTAAGAAGGTCTTGTCTGGTGTTAGACTGTAAGAAATACTTGTGCATGCCTTCTTATTGGTGTTAAAACTAAGTCAATTGGCATGGGCCATAGCTAGAGAACTAAATTGGGAGAGGGGAGGTTTGTTTTTTCATATATTTATTTGAGCTTGACTGATTTCTTTAGAAAGCCAAATCATTTTCAAAAGGAATCAGTCTGACGCTACTGAATATAAGAATAAACACACCTCCCCATTTATTGTTTTAGCTATGGCTCTGCAATTGGCTACAAAACAACTATGTTTATGAAGGGCATAACATCTTCTAACAAATGCACTGAACAAAGTTTGATATACAGGTTTTTATTTTTTTAAATCTAGAGAATGTAGTTTGTAAAGAGTTTGACAGGCTGAAGGATAATTATAGAAGATGCATTAAAAAGCGAGAGTTGACGACACGATCAGGGAGTGGGGCAAGTAAGAAATTGCCAACTTGTGAATATTTCGTTGAGTTGTCCTTTTTGCGTGATGTGATGACTGGACGAAAAACTGAAACCAACATCCAATTGAAATTGCCGAGAATCCTGATGTGCTCTCCACCGATGAGGAAAGACCATTTACATCATTTTCACCAATCACTGTGGACAATTCCCATGCAAAACTTGAAATTTCAGACTCAAAACCTCTTCAAAAGACTCGGAAAAGGCGATCAGATCAGATTGACGATCTTTTGGCCTTAAGCCTTGCCAATGATATAGCATATGCTAAAAATGGTGATTCAAAAAAGACAACTAACCCAGAAGACCAGGACATTCTTTTCTGTTCCAGTTTGGTTACTACCTTTAGGAATTTGACTGGAAAGAAAAACAAATTGGCTAAGATCAAAGTATTGCAAGTTCTTGCTGAGTTTGAAGATGATGACGAAATGTAACAGAATGTTTTTTCCATAAACTTTTTCAAGAAATTTATTGTTACAAATAACTTTACGTTTGCATGCGTTAACTACCACGTTATGTTATAAAAACAGTGACAAAACTAATAAATGATTCTTTGATTTAGTTAAGCTTCGTTTTGAAAACAATCAACTGTAGCATGTGCTGCGTTCCACTGCCAGCGTACTTGTCCTTTTGGGGACATGAAGTAGTTTTTAAAATCTTCTCTAACAAGCTTTGCATCACGAGAGTAGTTGTTTGACCCAGCGTTGCTGACATCTCTTAAACCCTCATCTGATTGTGTCACTTTTCTCCATTCTCCAAGCTCTCTTCCATTTTCTGTGTTGTTGTCCACGAAACCAGCTGGACAGTATTTTGTGCTGTGCGAAAAAGACCTTCCAGCCATAAGATAATTGTGCAGAGCGATTACTGCTTTTGTAACTTGAATAACCATTTCAACTCTGGCGTGAATTGGTCGACGAAATACCCGAAATCGTGCTGCTACAATTCCAAACGCATTTTCAATTACCCTCCTCGCTCGAGACAACCGATAATTGAATACCCGCTCAGATATTCCCAAGGCTTCTCTAGGGTACGGTTTCATGATATTTTGCTGTAACTGAAACGCCTCATCTGCCACTATGACAAATGGATAGCATTTTTGAGTGGAAGGGAATGCCTCGGGCCTAGGGATGCCTAAACTGTTTTTCTTAATTGATTCACCCATTGTACTGTAAGAAAATACCCCACCGTCACTATTCCGTCCTGAGTCACCAATATCAACCAATGTGAACTGGTAGTCTGCATTGCAAATAGCCATTAAGACAATAGAATGGGTTTTCTTATAATTAAAGAACATCGATCCAGAGTTAGCTGGTGCCTGCATCACGACGTGTTTTCCATCAAGCGCACCAATGCAGTGTGGAAAATTCCATTTAATTTCAAACCCCTGTGCTATGCACTTCCACTCTGCCTCATTGCTTGGACATTTCATGAATACCAATGACAGTACTTTCCACAGTGCTTCACATGTTGAAAAGATGATTCGTCCAACAGTGGTTGGGCTCATTCGAAAGTTCATCCCTATGGTTGTTTGAGAATCTCCTGTAGATACCTGAGTGTTACACAAAGTCGCTCACTAGAATTTTTTTTCAAAAGTTCTTCATATTGAACAGGAGTCATACGAAAATATTTGAAAAAAAATTCTTCATCAAATAAACTTAAATCTTGGACTAATAAATAGAATTCTCCTTTAGTTTTGCGTTCTTGAAATATTTTTCGTACCCATATTGACTTTTTATTTTTATTTCCTTTAGTCATCCTTCTTTTTAACAAGAAAAGAAGAAGTGTGTTTTTACTGACAACCGCCATGTTATGATTATAATCAAAATTCGCGCCATGCTTCGTTTCGGTACGGTTCGTTAAAACCGCCAAAGTGGAGAATGTAACACGTATATGCATACGATACGCTACGTCGCGTTTTGCTACGTTACGCTACGGTACGGTCGAAGTGGAGATCGGCCTTTAGTCTCTCCATCAATCCAGCCTGTGAAATATTCACCATTCTCTACGACCTCTTTTAAATATCGGCTTATAACCTGTCGAATATCTCGATTGTTTGCATTATTTAAATTACCCGCCATTATGCAAATGATCGCGCAAAAATAAACTTGAAATTGACTTAATTTCATCGCTCAAAAGTAGTTTTCGTGTTATTACGCAATCGGCACAAGTGACGTCACGAGATGAACTGCTGTACAAATACTAAATCCCATCCTTGATGCCACCACATAGAACATGGTTGACTGTTTGGAAAAAACCCTTTGGTCATGTATATTCTCTGAGATGACTGTGTTGAAATAGTCCTTTAGTTTTATAGATCAAATCTCTACACTCAGCACCCTGTTTCTCGTAGTTAACTTGATCACAAAGAAGCCTAGTTAGTCTCCACTTGCGCTCAATTGTCTTCTTCGTTTCTTGCATTCAGCAATGCCATTTGAATACCATGCAGCTCTAGGTCTAAGGATGATGGTCTTCATCTTGACTGGAGCGTAAGAATCAATGAAGGATAGCAAGACATTATCATACAAATCAACGAGATGTGAAGCAACTTCAAAGGGATTCATTGAAGAATCGACAGGCGCATGTTGGACTTCAGGGCCAAGAGGAGAATTCATAATATCCTTGCGGAAATTGTCATAGTTTACAGATTTGAGTTGACGATACTGTATCCTCCTCTTTTCAAAAGGTGGCTTCTTGAGATCCAAGGAACAGATTATAAGCCTGTGGTCAGATATGGGTACATCAACAACATTAAATGAATTAAGAATATTTTCAGAGTTCTTTGAGATAATAAGATCGAGAGTGTGACCGGCACAATATCTACCTGACTCTGTACATTTACTACAAAGCTCAAAACAATTTGATTGCAAACCAATGCATGCAACTACTAAACAATTTGATTAGCCCTTTATAGAGAAATGGTTGAGGTATACCTGCCTATAAGATGTGTAATCTGATTAAGAAAGCTTTTAGGTTTCAAAAGAATTATGTTTTTCCTCCCTTCAGTGATAAGAACAAGAGAGCTTTTAGATATGAATGATTTGAAGATTTTCAATGGCTTTGTTATTTCCCTTCTGAGGATCTTTATGCTTCAAAATGTTCTAGAAGTTCTGGATTAATAAGTACTCCTTGCAGTTGGTGATGGTGTGGGGCTGTCCATGTCAGAATCTGGCTGTTAAATAAAAGCAACAGTCCGATTTCTAGGCATGGAAATGAGTCCCTTAAATAGAGTGAAAAAGCCAAAGAACTTAATAACTATTACAATGTTAGAAAATGTAGATTTTTACATTAAAATGATACTCATAAAATACGATTATCGTCCATTCCCAAATGCTGGAAATTGTACTCGAAACACCTATGCAGTTGCTTGACTTTGAAAAATCATAGATGTACCCCTGCTGCAGGTATTCTACTAATATGGAGGAAAGAAAGTTGCCGAGTTTCAATGCTGGTCTCACAATTACCCAGTTTTTCAGAAGCTTATTAACCTTAATATTAATAATTTGTGCCTCAGAAAACTTGTGCATGGCCGGTGGCCTCAATTGAACAGGTATGTTTGCAAATTTAATGGTTCTACCAGTAATCATGACACTAATTTCCTTGTCATTTGTCAATTATTTCCGTTTGGTAAGAAAACTGGAAAGTTAACCTGCTCTGAAGCCTTTGACATTTTTTTCAAAGTCTGCAATAAGATTTGGTAAAAGAGTATCACATATACTTACATCATGAAGTATTGTTTAAATTGTTTCAAGGAAGTTTTCTTGTCTTCTTTTCTGTGATGTAGGGTCCACACCTTCTTTCTATATGGCTAGTAGCTTATTCACTCCCGTAAAAAAGGCTTCTGTGACTAACCATAACTTTTGTTTCCAGGTCAAGCATAGTATGACTTTGCTTGGCATTAAAGTCCTTGTTAACGTTTCAGCTTGCAATCTTGTCAGATTCTTACATTTTAAAGTGGTTGACACTTCATCAAAAAAACAGGAACTCTGTTTCAGGGATTTAATGGTTGCAAAGAGCATGAAGCTCTTTGTTTACAGATGGTCTCATAATATCCCTTCATCCAAAGGATGGCTCATAATTTGCATGATGAAGAGAGCAATAGAATCAGTTAAAAAGGATATAAACTTTTGCTTACCTGCAATATGGTCATTTCTTTCCAGCAAATTTCCTTAAACCTTATGGCCTGGCTGATGATGTGCCCTCACAAGAGGTGATAATGCGACGCACGAAACCAGTAAGCAACGAATGGTTACTGAGGCCAGCCATTGCAATGAGCGAATTTGCCGATACTATTTACCAAAACGTGTCGCTCTTGGAGAATAAAAATTCTCTTTTATTAAACGTGGAAACTAAATGATTTCTTTATGGAAATGAAAAAATACATGAATTCACTCGAACGGCTCAATTCAAAAGCAGCAGAAAATGCAACAAAAGAAGACGTGCAAAATATTTTTAAGATGTTCTATAAGGTCACTTTCCTGAGTTCAGGATTCACTTTCCAGGATCAGACACATTCAAAGCTTTACACTTTCTCCTTCATATTCCTGAGGTCTTTCTTCATCATCATTCAAGCAATATATGGATTTTTCTTGCAAGTTCTTCTTCAAATCTACATTTGCTATTTACAGGCATATTGATGGAAATCATAAATTGATTGAGCCATATCGCATAGTTGTCCATGGGGGCATAGATGGCTACTCAAGGCTGGTAACCTATCTCCATGCATCAACTAATAACAGAGCAGAAACAGTATTGAGCTTGTTTGAATATGCTGTTCAGTGCTATAATTTACCGTCAAGAGTCCGTTGTGATCTTGGATTGGAAAATATTGAAGTTGGGAGATATATGCTAAATGAAAGAGGTCTAAACCGGGGGAGTATCATCACAGGCACATCCGTACATAATCAAAGGATTGAACGACTATGGAGAGATGTTAATCGTATTGTGATATCAAAGTTCTTAAACATTTTCTTGTTTTTGGAAAATAGAGGTGTTTTTAATCCAGTCAATGAGGTTCATTTATTTTGTCTTCAATTGGTCTATATTGACTTTATTAATATCGCTCTACAAGAGTTTGTGGCTCAATGGAACAACCATCCAGTCACAACAGAAAGCAACCATTCACCGCAACAAATATGGGTTAGGGGAATGGTAGAGTTGAGACATTCTGGTTACAGTGCTGTGAATGATGTTATTAGAAACAATGCATTTTCTTCCTATGGTATTTCTGAGGATGGGCCTGTGGCAGAAGAAAATCCTTCTCATGTTGTCGTTGTCCCACAAACCCAACTTAGATTAAACAATGAACAAATGGACTCGATCCTTACTGTGATAAGACAGGGACAAACTGAAGATGATCCACATAAAATTGAATCTTATTTAGCTGCTGTTGAACATGTTTCCTTGCTGCTCAATGGACAGTGACTTCGAACTTGATGATATGCATCATTTTCACCTTCATATAAATATTGTAACAATAACTAACATCGCTCATAGCAGTCTAACTACACCAGTTCCAAACCAAGTGAGCCATACTTCAGTGCAACATCCATAAATTTTTTGAAGTCTTCATATGACTTGTGTTTAGATGGCAGTGTAATAGTAGAGAAGCATGTCTCAGCATGCGGCAGTTCACTTGAATCATCAAATTTGACCAATAATGATCCCCTTGGTAAGGTATTTGTTGCACAACAAAAGCAACATAAGTCTGTTAATGATGGTTGACCTAAAAGTAAAACAATACAGTGTGAAATGTAACCTTAGACAGCAACTTTGTACCATTGATAAAAGAACCACAAAAATTCAAATGTCTTTAATTAAAATGACAAGAAATACTGTAGCATTATTCAGTACTGACATGGGGTATCAGGTGCCTGTGAATAAATGTGATTTTAATCACACAAGTGTTGCCCTTGTCTTCTACACTCGAGTAATGTGGGGCCAAAAAAAGATAAGTGTAATAGAAAACTCTTGGGTAGAACTTGTAAAATAGTTTGTGTTTGGTATGATTGAAAGCAAGTAGTGATTAATAGTACCTTCTTCATATTTTGCCAGGAAATATAAATACTCTGTGAAAAAGGCAAATGTTCTTTCATTTTCTTTCTCTTCTTCAAAGATAAGTACTTCTTTGATCTCATCAAAGGATAATCTTCTTTTTTCAATGGGCGGAAAGACAATTTCTAACATGTTGGTGGGTAAGTGACCAATAAAGGAATGCAAACCAGCATCCTCCATACCTGTAGCAACAAACAACAGAAAAATCAATATCCAAAATAGTTTGCATGACTGGATGAAATCTAGGTCTCAAGCTAATTTTCCTTCCCGAAATGCAATGCATCCAAAAGAAAGAACAAGGTAGCATCTCTCCAGCATTTATTTCACACTTTGACATCAAATAGAGCAAAAACATTCAACAGTGCTCTCATGGAAAATATTGGCATAGTTAATGCAGCCGATTTCAATTGTGACTGAATCACATGATAAGCATTGTATCAAAAATAGTAAAAAATATAGGCCAAACCTTTAGCAATGTCATCAAGTTCTCTGCGTCTCTTATCAATGACTTGATAAAACATCAGGTCTTGAATGGCAAGCTGTGTGTTTCCTGATAATATGTCCATGTCAACTCCAGACTCAAAAAGATATGGGCAAAGCTTGTTTAACATCTCAGGTGATGGGGTATGACAATTTTCTAGCTGGAAAAACAGATACTAAATATGCAAAAAGTCTTATATAAGTCATTGTTGATCCAATTAAACCCATAATCCAAGTAAAACAAATAGGTGATCATGTTTACAGGTACATACCTCAGTTATCATTTCACGTAATTCAAGATCGGCAATATCATCTGGAACAATCGGGAGTGCATGTGTAGCAATATCTTTGTCTTTAATTTGTGGTGATCCTGTTACATGCCAGTAATGCAAAATTGCTGGTGAAAAGCCATAAGGAAGAGGACCTCCGTGAAGTACAGTGTGACCTATGATACGCCCAATTGCCTTAAAAACACCCGTGCATCTGAATGCTTGATCATGTATAGGCAGTAAATGATTGTCTTCACCATAAAAAAAGACCAGTGGCTTTTTGTTTTTGGAAAGCCCTTCTTCAACAATTTTCATGGCACATAAAAGAAATTCTCGAATAGGGCCATTGCCTACACCATCTTCCCCTTCAAATCTCACACGCAATGGTGCCTTCAAGTTGCATTCTGGTTGTTTGTAACAACTCAAGATGTCCCGTTTGAGGTCGTCCATACCATCCTCTCTAGAAACATTGAACTTCTGTTTTGGCAGGTTGTAATCTAAGTTTTCTGCTTGATAGCTTTCAAGACTTAAATTTGATGACTTCCTTGTTTCAGGAGCCTCGGAGACATTTGCCAGTGAAGATGAAGGTAAATCTTCAGAATCATCATCATCATCCAAGCCTTCGAAAAGTTGACAAAAGTACTTACAAACTGTCGCTATCAACATGAAATTTATTTATATGGATGGGTTTATTTTCCAAAATGTCAAATTCATTATTTTGGAAGCAATGTCCAAACACATGACACTTTAAGTCATTTGGCAGAAATCCAATTCAATTTCAAAAGAAATCATTTGGGCACATATAAATATAATTCCTTAATTAATGTTCTAGCATAGCCTTATCACTTAGATCTTTTACACTGTTGCTATGTATGATAGAGCATGAACTGCAAAACATGAAAAATTAGGAAAAATGTGGGTAATGACTAACCCAACAGTTGCTGTGCAGCAGCATCCACATCTCCTCCTGCATTGGATAATGCTGACTCTATTTCTTCTGCTGAGGCAGTGGGCACAACATCAAGCAAAATATTACTTTGAACACTAGTTATGAAAAAAATACAATACACTGATATGATAGAAGAACCCCACACAATTAAGGGGTGTTTCATGGTGACTTTCATCCAGGGACCGTCTCACTCTAGTTCTGTTGCAATTCATATAATGTTGTCACACCTGTTTGGTTGCTTTTGCATTTGAATACAGCTTTGGTTAAACCAGGCAAGAACATAAAGCAAAGCTTGGAAATTCAGCATGTAACTGGAAATTCCACTTACTTAACATTATCCCCACTCTCTTTCCTTCGCTTTATTTGTAACTGCAATATGCAATGTTAAACATTTTATATTATATACCAAAAATATTGAACTACCAACATACCAGAATAGTATCAACAAATGAAAGAAATTAACTCACTTCTTGATGGTTCTGGAGTGAAGAATCGCTCATAGGAACATGTGTATCCTTCTGAATTTTGCATCCATCGTAACAGAAAATTGCATGTTAATGTTGCATATAGTTTACAAATGTGATTAAGCATGGATCCTTGTTACATTTAATAAAAATGTTGGAATAACATGAACTCACTATAATAATCACCTCTTCATCCTTTTGTGATGATTCACCTCCAGGTATATAGTAGGTTATCTTTTCAGCTCTACATTCATTATCCGCCTCAGAAAGAAATGTGAATCAGTTATCAACTATTCTACTGCCCAGTAGAGATTTAGTTAACACACAACTGAAACTGGGTTTCCTAGGACTATCCTGTGCATCCAGTTGCTTTATCTTTATAAATTAAGCAATGGCAAACTTGCATTCATATGTTTATGAATGTGGGATAATTATGCCCTCCAAACTCATTTAATATAACTTACTCTGTCATAGATTAACTCTTTAGATGCTCTAATATATATGGGCCCAGTTCCGGAAATATGTTTAAGTACTTTCCCTGTGAGTTCTTGACCTTCTTGGAGCTTTATGGGTACAATCTCACTTCCAATAGACCTCACAAATTCAAATCTAAATGTAGTACATGTATTAGCCATCTTGTACTTGTTTATTCTAAATTCGCATTTTCAATAAAATGGTAATGCTGGCTATATCACAATATTTGGGTGTAGGAAAAAATGGAAAACTGTCCAACACACTTTCTGCCATGACTACTCTTCACACTTCTTCATTTGAGATGCATACAATAAACATAATACCATAAACCAATACTATTGACATATGTGGGCTTTATGCTTAGTCAGCATGCACACAACAAAACTGTTTTCATTGATTAAAAAATACAACTATTTAATACAGTCTGCTATGATAAACCAAACTGCACCAAAAATGCAATCTGCTAAAAACTATGTACCAGTAATCTTACCCTACTTCTTCTTCTTCTTGCCACAGGTGCTGAAAAAGCATGTCTTAATTCTTCTCGAGTTGCACTTCTCCGAGATGCACATAGAAAGGCCATGCATCGACGAATAACCCTGCCCGAACGAGCTGGGCTTTCACTTTCCGTCTAGGTACGTCATCCCAAGTAGGAGTAGGCAAAAGGCAAACATCTTTTATGATGGGTGCTGAGACAGTGGCTTCTTTACCAAGGCTTTTTTTAAGTGAAACGACCACTAGCCGCCCGCATTGTTTCCTTTCCTTTACGGCTACTATTACTACTAGTTTTAGTGCTATAGTTGGTACTGGCGAATATTGCGATGACAATGGCAGCTGGCTGTAGCTATTTGAACTCGAAGTCAAACTAGTACTTGTTGCTCTAGGAATTTGAAAGGCTTTATATATTTCCTCTTCTGTACTTCTGTTACTTGTTGAGTGAGAAGAGGTCTGCTCCACTTTAGCGTTGTTTGCATGATTGTTCAACTCTCCTATTACTGCTCTCACTATTCGATTAAGCTCATCGTCTTTATTGCTTTCCGCCATAACAATATACATGTGCTGTGCGGCCACATGTGAAGGGGAAAGGAGTTTGTATTGTCATATTTCCGGTTGAGTTTGTCGAACACTTCCGTTTCCTTTCGATATACGATTTTAAAATTTCCGTTTCCTTTCGATATACGATTTTAAAATTTCCGTTTCCTTTCAATATACGATTTTAAAATTTCGATATACGATTTTAAAATTTCAATATACGATTTTAAAATTTCGATATACGATTTTAAAATTTCGATATACTATTTTGAAGTTTCAATATACGATTTTAAAATTTCAATAGTCAATTTTAGACAATACTGACATATAATTTTGTCCGCAACGGAACGCCATAATCATCATCAGGGTTTAAATTATAAATAAGTTTTTTGTTTTGTTTTTCCGAATTGGTCTTTTTTTTCCTAAATGAGATTTTCTCATTTTTATATTGATGTGGGACAATTATAAGACATACATTAGTTTCCCAGTCATTATTTAAAAATTCTGAAATATTACTTTGTAAATTATGTTCAAAAGTATCTAATAATCTCTGTATAGTAAATTCCTTTAAGGGTAATAAGGATGTTGAAAAAGGTTTTAACGGAGCTTTTTCGAAAAAAAATCTAATTAAATCATTCTCAGATTTTACGGATAATTTTGCTATATTGAGCAAATATTGTAATATTTTGAAAATTGTTTCAAAAATCTGGTAAACTGTTGAAATTGTTTTTTATAAAATTTGATATATGTGATCCTTAACTTCACCATTTAATGTAAAATGGTATTTTTATATTGTAAATCAATTAATTTTTATTTTTTGATGTATTCAATTTTTTCACCAATTTTGAATGAAATATACTAACTATTTTCTTTATTTCATCATTCAAATAATTTTCATTTTTTCTTCTTTCTTCTTCAATTTCTTCATTTTTCCGTTTTGACATGGTTTTTTTCTTTATTTTTTCTTTTTCCTTTATTTTTTTCACCGTCTACATTATCATGATAATCAATTTCATTTTCGAACCTTTTATACACATGCAGTTTAGATTTAATTTTATAAGCGGTGTATCGTTGGATGGTTTACACATAGAACCCATTGCTAAAATTAATTAACAAAATGGCTGGAGAAACACTATGTTATATAGAAGTTCATTTATTCTTAAATGAAAATGAAAAGAAAAAATAAAAATAATAAAAGAGCTAGTACTAAATGTACCTATCAAATACTGGATAATGATAAATGTATTTTATTCTCACCTTTCTTATTTCATCAATCAATTCAAGATTGGAAATCAGATGATAATGATGATAATTCTGTAAGGTATTATGATGTCAATTCATTAAAAAGAATTTTCTTTTTAAAAAGAAATATATAATCTCGAGTCAAATCATTCTGATATATGTTTTAAAATTGAGAAATTAATAGAATATATTGAAACAAATATTGAACTTTATGCTGGAATAAGATTAATTTACTAAAAATGAAACAAAGTATACGAAAAGTACAACAATGTGATGGAATTACCTTAAAAATGTAAGATGTCGAAAAAACTTCAATGACCAATTTATGTTGGATTCACTTGGGAAAAAAGTTTAATTTAAAATTAAAACTTCAAACATTTCAAACGGTGGTAAAGGATTATTTGCATACAAAAAAATTCAAAAACAAAAAATTGCAAATTATACAGGAAGACATCTTACCTCAAGTCAAGTAATAAGAAAATATGGTGATGGTTTAGCAGAATACGCAATTTGCGATAAAGGAAAATGTGTTGATGCTAATGAAACAACTGATGGCGCACCAAGATATGCAAATGATGCTCGAGGGTCACGCTTTAAAACAACTCGTTTTACTTGGAAAAAATTTAATTATTTCTTAAAATCATCAAAAACATTAAACCACACCAAGAAATATTTACTAATTATGGTAGAGAATATTGGAAAAAAAGTAAAAAGTAAAATATTTTGTAAATAAATAATATTTTTATTGAATAAAAATATATTTTTACATAAATGTTTTTAATTAATTAATTAAGTACACAAATTGATTTCAACTAAAATATCGATCCCAATATTGGTGCTAACAATGGTAATATTCCTCCTTTTTGACCTCTTCTTCTTTTACCCCTTACATACATCTGACCTCTATATGCACCTTTACCCAATTGATTATTTGCAATTTCAAATGCTTTATCCATTAAGGGTGAATTTACAAATTTTTTTGCTTTAGAACCCAGTATTCCTGATTTTGCTATAGCTCTGGCAGCTTTTGCAGATTTTAACGCTAAATGTTTTTTACTTAATGCTTTTTTAAATCCTGATTTAAGTGTATTGCGAATTTTAGAAAATTTAATAAATCCTCCTTTTTGTCGTCTCCCTCCTCTTTGACGTCTTCCCATTTTTTAGTAATTTTAAAAAAATATTATTTCAGAAATTTAAAATGTGATTTTGTAAAAAAATCTATATATATGTTATAACAATTGTACTACTTCTGCATAAATAAACAGATATTGCTTCCCATGCATATATTTATTGAATTTGCTTACTATTTATTTTACTTATTTATTCTTTTTAAAATAAAAATAAAAAATGTATAAAAGAAAACGAAAAAGAATTAAAAAAGAAAATATAGAAAAAGCACAAAGAGGAGGAATTATTGGTGGACTAGCAGGATTGGCATTAAAGGGTATTGTTCCAGCTATAACCGGTGGAGTTGTTAAAAAAATATTTAAATAATAAATTAATAAGGAATAATTTCTTTCTGATGAAACAAAAAATGTGTAAAAGGAAAAGAAAAAGGAAAAATTATTGTATAAGAGGATCAATAAAAAAAATAAAACAAAAGGGAGGTGGTTATTTAAAGACAATGATGAATGAAAATAGAAAAAATAGAAAATTTGTATTTAATTAATCAATTATTTCCATTAAAATTTGAAAAAATAATTTGTATCTATCAAGTCCATTTTTTTTTAAAATAAATAAAATATCATCACAAGTTGACGTATGAAAATTAGGATCTCTATCAAATATTAATCCCATTTGTTCAAACGTTAAAAAAGTACGTGTTGTTAATGTAAAATTAGGTTTTTCTAATTGTTTACATTTTATAATAAGTAAAGTTATAAAATCATCAAACAATATATTACAATATTTACAAGATAATATATGCGTGCATAATCCGTATAAATTTCGTTTTCTATTAAAAATTATAAATTACATCTTTATTTACATTTTTCAATTTTATTTTTCAATTGTATTAAAAATTTTTACAAGATATATAAATTTTACATTACTAACATGTTGAAAAAATATCTATATATCCCATTACACTCTAAACCTAAATGAAAACTATCTTTTTACAACCTGAGAATCATGCAAATAAATGTTGAAATAATCATATAAAATTATATTCGTTTGTTTATTTACATTAAAATAATGATATCTGCAACAAAATTTTCATTAAATAATAATATTTTTTATGTTGCATATAAACTTTGGGTAACCAATAAGTCGAAATTAAATAAAGATGTTCGGTATTTTCATTCTCCCAACAACGTATTATCCCTACTGTTCCATATAGAAATTCAATGAAATCTACATTTTGAAGACGGATTTGAATTTTTCATTATTTGAAAAAGATTTAAAATAAAGCGAATATTTTAAATCTTCTACAGTTGGTTTAATTTTAAGCACTTTCATTAGTGACGAAGTTCTTTTCAATTTTAATAAACAACTGCATACA